TTGGTTTTTTAAGATGTCACCCTTTGCTCTCTGTTGTACAGTGTGATGTTCCAAGTGCTGAAATAATCTCCTCCTGTCACGAGTGGGTTCCAGCAAGTTCCTTGTACAGCAGTTAAAAGCTGATGTGTCCAAAAGCTTCCAGTGAATCTAGTGTTAAACACAAGTGAAATGCACGGTCTGTGCTCAGATTCCTTGCCAGCTGAGGTGAGGGTTGACCTTTGCTTCTCTCACAAATTCCAGGTGTGTGTTTGTAGTTTGACATGAGGCACAAATACACGGAGGAGCTGAATCAGGGGTGTTGGTGACTACAGGGAGGAGAACACCAGAGGAAGAATCTCAGAGTTTATCACCAACACTCCTGCTCTGGAGTCTGTGGTGGGGAACTGACAACTAATTAGGAGTTAATGGCAGAGTGAAATATGGATCCAGCTGTTGAGTGTGTTGTGTCTGCTCCTCTCTGACAATCGGGGGATGTTTATTCCTCTCCAGTCCTTGGGACAGCCTCCACATCTGAATAAATCCAGTGACTGTTAGGTCCTGGCAGGAGCAAAAACATCCGAGGGTTAATTGTTAACTTCTCCAGTCTGTTTTGTATTTTCAAAGACAATCAGTTGCCTGGCTTAGCCAGTTTTTATGCAGTTTCAGCCCTTGTTTGCTGTTTTTCGTGAGGACTTTTTCTGTGTGGCCTCCTGTGTGTCTAACAGAGCACCTGCTGCTTCTGAGACCAGGATGCATCTTTTAGAATACAGATCTTTGATTTTGTGATCTTGTGTTAAGTGTTTTAGTAGGAGGAAAATATGCCTTGGTATAACACCTGCTCCTGTGCTTTTATGCTATTTTATAGCCAAACTTTTTTAGTCTAGACAGATTCTTCTTTTTTTCTATTTAAAAAGATAAAATGATTTGTGAACAAACCAGGCTGCTGATGTTCCTGTGTAGAAATCATTCTGAAATTCAGATTTTTCAGGTTCATTTCAGTGTGTTTCAGTTGTACCTGATGTGCTTCTTGAACTTCCAGAAGTGTTCTCACTTGACTGACAGCAGGGGGAAAAGGAATGGGCAGGGATTCTCATGGATGTGGAGGTTTTCAACTCTGTGCCTGCTCAGGATCCCTCCTGCCACCAGCTCCAAATGGGATCCTGCAGGCAGGTCCTTGCTGCAGAGGCAGGAATAGGACAGAGTAGAAAGGTGGGGTTTGTCCATCTATCACAGGTGTGATATTTATGTATCTCTTCAGGTATTGAAATCACTCCAAGCCCAGCTTCACTGTCTCACTGTTCCATGGAATTAAAGGTAAAAAGCCCAACAGAAACCTGTGTTATCCAGCAGGCTTGTGGAGTTTTGAAATTCCAGAAGTCTGGGTTGGATTCTCTGTGGTGTTTCTATTTTTTAAATTATTTCATTTCTACCCCAGTGTAGAAGTTGCTGTAAGTAGGAGTAAGTGGAAAACCTTCAGAAAGAGTTTTATAAGGAGACTCGAGTGTGATGTTGTTGATGTATAAATGTGTAAAATGTAAAACAACATTCCAGCACTTTCCATTGTGTAAAGACACTTCAAATAAAACAATGCAGTGCCATTCACACTTGGGATTTGAACTGTGTTCCATGCTGGACAAGGTGGATATTGAGATTTTTCATGGTGGTGTCTGAATGTTCTCATGGGGACTCAGAGCTGGGGGTGCCAGGGACCCACGGGAGGGATTTGGGATCCTTGCAGGGACCACTCCGGGTGGGAAGGAGGAGCCAAAGAAGTCTTCAAAGCTTTAATGAAGCCATTGATCAATACCAGAAGTGATTCTGCTCCACTCCAGGGTGACAGCCTGCCTTGGCACATGAAGCTGGGGTTTGCTTTATTCCCTCCACACCAAGATTCAGTTCCCCCCCACCAGAACAGTTTCTCCTAATCACTGACCTGCTGCTAAAGGCTGGTTTTAGCTGCAAGCTTGCACGGAGGCATCAACTCAGCCCTTTCTGAGCTTGCACTTTGTAGAAATAAATACCCCAAATTCCTTTCAAGTGTTCTCCTTGAGCAGCAGCTGAAACATGAGGTGTTTCTTTGTGTTCTGGAGTTATGGGAGTACTTTGGTTTTATAATAACTGAGAACCTGTGATTGCAGCTCCTCATTCTGCCTTGTCACAGAACTGCTTCCCCTGAAGGACCTTGTGCATAAAATTCCAATTGCTTCCTTTATTCCCTGAGAGGTTTGATTTCCATTTTTGTCTGGGTTTGGATATTTTTGAGCCCAGAACAGAAGGCTGGTTTGTGAATCTTATTGGGTTTTGTTTATTTGCTCCACTCTCAGTGTAAAACTTGCTAGGAGAGATTCCCCAGCCAAGCTTCATCCTTTGGAGAAAATGCAGAGCAAGAGAAAAGACTTCTCCTCCTGCAGGTATTGACCCTGAGATGTGAGTGTGACACAGGGCTGTCCCTGCCATCACTCACAGCTCCAGGGAAGGTTCAGAGGGTCTGAATTCTCCATAAAACAAGAGCAGGGCCTAGAAAGTAGAAAACTCTATTTCAGATGTTACCTAATGTGTTAAAATCCTGCTCTGAAGCAGGTCTCTGTACTGTAAGACTTTGGCATGCTCAGGCTTGTAGAGGGAATGTTTGATTCCCCTGGTGAAGGGAACATATTCCAAGCATCAGCAGGACTGGGGTGAGGCAGTGGGAAGGACATTCTGCATTCTGGCAGTCTGGATTGTTCTTACATAAAAACAACCAAGTCCTGTCCTCTGTGGCTGTGTGCTGGGATCACAGGAGCAGGGATTGGGAGGCAGCCAGGCTGAACTGTGCCCTCCTGCTGGGCCAGGTCACCCCAGCTCCCTTCATCCACAGGGGGGTCTGGTAATTATTTCTGAGGCTGAGAGTGTGTGGAGATCACTGAGGGCCTGATTTCACAACACAAAATGAATTTTTAGTTGGTGTTCATATCTGCTGTGATAGCTGTTCCCTTTTTTGTTCTCCCTGAGACACTCCAGGCTCTGCTCTGCCCTGCCAGGTGCAGGCACACTGCAGATGAGGCAGCAGAGCTGGGAGCTGAGCTGCTGTTCCAGCAGGAGTCAAAGCCTGCTCCGTGGTAAATTCAGTGAGACTCCACACCTTGTAACACCTTGTGTCACTTCCTAGGGGTTGGTAATGCTGTGGTGAGCCTGGAGTTAATTCAGAGTTCTGTTTTGTCCTCTGATGTCCATCTTACTTCATTAGGATTTTTCTGGAGCATCCCAAAGTCTTCTTCTGTCCCCCTTTAATGGGATGAGCTCAGGCTGGTGCCTGCAAACTGGGTCACTGATGTTGGCAGCAAAGCTTTGCAGTAACAGTGTATAAACATATATTTATACATTACACAAATGTATTTAAACGTTTAACAGTGTATAAACCTGGCGTGTGACTCCAGCTCATAGTAAAGGGCTACAAATTTAGGACCTGGTGAGGGACAAACCCTTGGGAAAGTCCCACCCTCCCTCTCTGCTGTGACAGAAGCTTTGGGAACTGACATTTGCTTTTACTTGGGCTGCCCCACGGTCACAGGGGCTGGTGCCTCCCTTCCTGTACCACTTAAATTGAGTTATTAATTATTTTTATTAACTTACATTCATACCTCTTCCCAGTTATGGTTGCTGACTGTTGAAAGAAACCCCTTCTGCTTTCCAGAGATAGAGCCCAGGGAAGGTTTGTGGCTGGAAAACCACTCCTGTTCTCAGGAGAGCCTCGTGCTCCTGCTTGTTTATGCAGGATGGGACAGTCATTGTAAGGAAACCAATCAAGTGGAGTTTGTTCCCCTGGAAAGATATTTGGTGAGTAATCCCTGCTGGGATTTCAGTCTGGAGTTTAAAGGAGCTTCATGGGGGATTGAGCTGGAAGTGACTAATGTGAGTCTTTGTAGCTGTACAAAAAACATTGCTAAATAATTGGCTCTGGAAGCTCTGGTTTCTGGTGAAAAAGCCTCTGTGGTTGTGTTCTGTGGGTTCAGGGTGGAAACCAGCCCATGATGGACACCAAAGTGAAGCATGAGCTCTGTCAGGGGCACAAATGCTTCTGGAGGAGGAAAGGGAGAGCTGCAAGGTAAGGAAGGACCTCGTTCTTCAGCCCAAATGGGCTCTGGGCTTCCCAAGAACTCTACTGCAAATGTTTATGGACCACCAGGATCCCCCTGTTGCTGCCTTGCATGTGGAGGCAGGACTCTGTAAGGAGCAGGTTTTATCCTGTTTCAGGTTGCACTATAAGGGAGGTGGGTGATGTGGCTGTGGCTGCAGCTGAAATGAAGAATGGAGGAAACGTCTCCTGCACAGCAGCTCCACAACCCTAAACCACAAACCGAGCCTGAATGAAGGCTGTGGCTTGTTCCTGTGGTTTTCTGCTTTCCCATGGGAGCAGCATCAGGTCCGGGCAGGGGACAGATCCCTTTTTAAAGTGTGATGTCCACAGGACAAATCCAGACAGGGACTGTGGTCACACTTCTCTGAAGGATAAAGCCAACGAAGTCCAGGTTAAAGGCGAGGATTCCTTTCCAGTCCGATCCTTTTGATTCCACTGACGAGTGGACAAAACCCCTCCTTACATCTTTGGGTTGGATGCGCTTGGGATCCTTCTCCCAAAGTGCCTGGGACACCTTTGGGCATCGAAGAGCCGCAGAACGCGGGCTGTTCCCAAACTTGGGAACTGTCGCTGTGAGACTGGGGTCTATCCCAGCCTCCTCCATCCCCCCAGCCGCTGCCCGGCGGGGTCGGGCTCTCCCGCAGCCGCGCACGGGCCCGGGGGGGCGGCGCCGGGGGCCGGGCCGGGCTGGGCGGCCCCGGGGAGGCACCTGCGGCGGCGGGGCTGTGCCGGGGCTCCGGCAGCACCGAAACCGGGTCCCTGCGGCACCAGCGGGGCTGGGCTGGGCTGGGGAAGGGGCGGCAGCGGCGGCGGGGGCAGCCCCGCAGCCCCGGCGGCCGGAGGGAGCCGGAGCCGCTGCGGCAGCGCCGGAGCCTCGAGCCCGCAGCATCCTCCGTGAGTAGCGCCGGGTGTAGAAACCACTCTCGCATGGGGATAATTGTAACCTTTCTCCCCTAAAGCTGTTACTTTTTGCCTTAAAGTTCTGTTCTTTTCTCCCCCAAAATCTCTGTTCCTTTCTCCTCCAAAACCTCCGTTCCTTTCTCCCCCAAAATCTCCGTTCCTTTTCTCCCCAGAGCTCTGTTCTTTCTGCCCCAAAGTTCTGTTCCTTTCTCCCCTAAATGTCTGTTCTTTCTCCTTCAAAGCTCTGTTCCTTTCTCCTCCAAAGCTCCGTTCCTTTCTGCCCCAAAGCTCCGTTACTTTTTGCCCCAAATCTCTGTTCTTTCTCCCCCAAAGCTCTGTTCCTTTCCGCCGGTGCAAGCGCTGCTTGCAGCGCGGTTCCTCGGGTGCGTGTGCGAGGCACTGTGGATGTACCACGGGAAACGCGACTTCTTTACCGGGACTCTAAACCAGAAAGAATTAGAGAGCAGATGTTCTCGCACGTTTTTCTGTTCAACTGGTGCTTGAGCAGTTGTTCCATGAACTGGGAGCCCATAAGGGACGGGACTGGGACTGTTCTGGCGCGGTTTCCTCTCCCGAGAGAGAGGAGCCTGCGCGGCTGTTGAAGGCTCATTGCATCGCCGGCGCTGTCCTTTCATCACTGGGGACGCCGAATCTCCTGTCCTGACTTATTCAACCCCGGCACTATAAATATGGGTTTGGTGGTGGTTATTTGTTTGTGGTTTTGGGAGGTTTTTTTGCTGTATTTTTTTTCCCCTCAATCTGTTGAGCACCGTGCTGGAAAGAGCTGGCAATGTAATATTTAACAGGAAAAGAACTTGAAAGCTCAGAGCATTGTGTTACAGTTCACTGAGTGTCCCCAGCACAGAACAAAACTACACTGCTCGCATTATTTGGGAACGCACTGAAGCTGCTGACAGGTTTGAATGGTGATTTCTGGTTTTTCCTGGTAATTAATGTATTTAATGCCCCAGGAAGTCCTTGCTAAAGGAAGCGTAGCTTTCACTGATGGGATGCATTGTGCTGGGGGGCAGGAGGGGTTGATTTAGTGATTACAAACCAGGAGACAAAGGCAGAGCAGAGACTTCAGGCTCTGACAGAGTTATTGCCCCTCTGTGGGTGCCAGATTGGGGCACTGAGGGTTTGCCAAGGGGTTCTGGTGGAGAACAGGCTGCAAGTGTGAGGTGTCAGCTGCTGTGTGTGTCTGCAGGGCTCTGCAGAGGGGAAGGTGCCTCACAGATTCAACACGTTGGCATAGACAAGCTCCAGCACTGCGGTGGTGTTTGGGGGTTTTTCCATTTTAACTCCAAATCCTGGTTCTCTCGGATATTTCCCAAGTGTCTAAGCAAGTCTCCTGATCTCAGTGTGCCTTAGATCCTGGCCTGGAATCAGTGGGAAAATACCTCTGGCTCGTTTTCTTCCATATCCTGCATATCCCTGAAGGGTCTGGAGTGGTTTTAGGATCTGAATGTGGTGGAGTTCCTGTTGTTCCCATGAATAACCGCATTCACAGAGGGGGAGGAGAAGTGTGTGTGGCCCAGAATTTCAAGGCAAAAATAAAAAATTAGAATTGGGCAATGTGCAGTTCATAGTGTGGTTTAGACACTGCTCCTGAGCCAGTCAGTGACAAAAGTCTACCAAGTTCATATTCCCAGGCATGGCTTTAGGAAATGAAGGTGTTCCCTTTGGGGGTCCTGATGTCACCTGTGGGAACTGAGGGGTTTTGGTGCCTCTCACGATCTAAGCCAGGCAGGTAGAATTACTGAGGGGATTTTAGTTGGTGCTGCTCCTGCCCAGAGCTGCCTGCAGTTTGTGTCTCTGTCTCGGCAAGGCAATGAACTGATTTTAATGTGTGTTTTACCAGCATTCAACCGAGGCAGCTCATGCCAGAACCTGAGAAAATGCTGAAAATGTTTATGTAAAGGTGCTGCCCTGACATGGGGACACTCAGGCTCACACAGGGAGGGTTGTTTGCCCCAGGCCACTTTTGAACTTGGGCTTTTCTTTCCTCCTTCCTCCCTCTTTGGAGCCTCTCAAGGTAAACCCAGGCACGTTCAGGTCTCACTGAAGGACGTTGTGTTTTTATTGCTCTCTGAAATCACAGCTTGCCTCGATCCCTGGCGGTGTTCCCGGGGTGCTGGGAAGGTGAGGGCAGGAACAATCCAGCTCCAAACAAAGCCCACCTTTTCCCAGGGGAAAGCACTGAACCTGTGTCCTCCTAACCAGCACCTGCCTTCCCTGGCAGGGAGCTGCCTCTCCAAGTCCAGCCATCCTGGAAAAACCCTCCAACAAACCCCTCTGCTGCCTGTGGCCCCTGTGCTGTAATTGCCAGGTGCTGCTGACAGGTGAGCTCTGATCCCATCTCCTCACAACAAACCCAGCTCAGCCCAGCAGGGCCCCTGAGCTGCAATCCAGCAGGGAGGCTTTAGAAAAGGGGGCACTGTTCCCACTTGCCACAACAACCCATCCCCTGTATCTGCCAAGGTGTTTGAAATGGAAACGTGCCCAAAGCTGAACTTTATGGAAACATTTCCAGCTCCATAACGTGGGCATGCAAAAATAACCAGCAGTGTGGAGAGTGAGGGTGAATGAGAGGCTCTGAGAGCCCAGGCAGGTGTGTGTGCACAGGGGGAAGTGCAGCCCTGTGTCATGGATAAAGAATGTCTGTGATTACTGTATCAAAGTCCACTTCTTCTCCCCTGCTGAATGGCTTTTATCCAGCACTCCTGATTTTCCAAACGGTTTTCTGAACAGAGTAGGATCCAAACTGAAAATTCAGGTTCCCACGGATTTTTCCTGGGCTTTGCTGGGTCTTTCTTGCAGCAGAGGCTTGGTCAGGTGTAACATGCTGATTCACAGGGCAGGAATGGAGCTGGGGCTCAGGTAAGAGCAGGACTGGCACCTTCCACCTGGCTGCAGCCACAGGCCTTGGACCTCCTGACTTGCTACACAAAGCAGAAGAACCCCAACCTAATGCAGTTTTCAAACTGCACCCCAGATTGGTGCAGCCTGCTGGATAAATTAATCCCTTTTGTAAACAGGCAGTTTCATTATGACAAAAAAAATTATTTGGTTCTGGGTGACTCATGCACAAACTGCTCCTCATTCCCAAGGTGGTTTGACCCAGAGGGAAGGTAGGAAGGATGAATATTTCATGGCTTAATACTAAAATATTCAGCCTTATTTATTTGCAGTTTTTATTTTGATAGCCAGGGGAGGAAAAAAGGCTTCTGTAGGTCTGGCATTTGCACTGCCCTAGTCAGGAGCCACGAGGTGAGAGCAGGATGTGGCTTTTTCTGAATTATTCCCATAGTCAGAACACGTGCTCAGCTTTTCCTGAAGAGTCTCTTGAGCTGCTGCTGTCACTGGTAAAACCTTGATCCAAATGGAGAGACAGGAACAGCTGTCCCTGGGCCCTGGTGCCCCCCAGGTTCCTCTGAGGTGTGTGTGAACCCTGTGCTGGACAATAGGGCTGGGCAGATTCGAAACACAAAATATTTCAACTGATGCTCATGCTGCTGAATTAACTTGGCCTTGGCTAAACAAAGGAATCATTCACTCACAGGAGAATGACCCAGTTACAGGCTTGGGGCAAAGTTAGTTTGGTTTTTAGATTAAAAGAAGAAAACCAAACTTTTAACTTGAGGGGACTGAAATATTTGAGGAGTGGTCCTTGCAGTTCTGATCCTGCATCCCATTCAGACACCAACCCCTTCCCTTCCTGCTGCCTCCTGATCCCTCTCATTCCTCACTGACCTGCTCTGCAGGTTTTTAATTGGTATTAATTTTTATTCCCAACTGATTTCCACTGAATTATTTCTGGCTATTGTTTATCTTGTGCTGTGTAAAATTAAAGTACACAATATCCCAGTGGAGCACCAGAGCCCTACCTGGTTGTACTGGGCAGCATCTGAAGTGGGAAACTGAGTTCCATATCAAGTGCTGAAGGATAATTTACTTTTCAAGGGGCAGTTGCAGTGTCCCAGCTCAGGGACTGGGAGCTGAGCTGCTTCCAGAGGGCTCTTTGAAGTGGTGCTCACACCCCTCTCAGGCTGAAGGAGCCCTTTAAGGCCTCGGGTTTGCAGGGACACTTGGAAAACCCTTATAAAACCAGCAAACATCCCAGCTGCTCTTTCCAGACCCACAGTTTTACCCACCAAAACACAGGCATGTTTTCAGCTGTGCCCTTGGAACAGACCTGAGCTGACACTGGGCTGAACTCACAACTCCTGCCACAGCCACGTTGCAATATCCCTGTTCAGGGACTGGTGTTTGTCCTGGCACTTTTGGAGCTCCAAGGGAAGAGGTTAAATGGTTTTTCTTCTCCATGTTAGATGAATGAAGCTCCTTTAAATTCTATTTTACAATGGAGTTTTTAAACCTTTCTGTGATGAGTTTTTCCCTTCCCTCAAGACATTGCTGAATTCTGGATGCAGAATCCTTCACATTCATTTGCTCAGTGATCTGAATCTCAACTAGAGGTGATCATCTAAAACCCCAAAACATTTAAAATACATTATTGTCTTTATATCTTACTTTATCCTATTAACACTGACTGAGGCAAATTGTTCAAGACTGTACCAACATTTCCATTGTACCAATATCCAATTTCCATTCCTTCAGCAGGGCCAGGTTTTCTACCACAATGAAGAGCCTCGGTTCAATTCAAAGCCTGGCAGGCTCTGAACCTTTGGGGGGCAGTTGCCTAATTAGCACTGTGAGATTTGGGTTAATATTTTAGGAATTCACTCCTCTTTTTTCCCCCTCTGCAGCCAACCCAAGATGACGACAGCCACGCCACTGACCAATAACACTGAGCTCTCAGTGAATGTGACCACAAAGTCTCAAGAACAAATTCTCTACCAAAGTAAGGAAAGGAGTGGGGTGGTGGCTTTTTTTTGGTTTTAAGTGGACTTTGAACTTATCAAACTTCAAACACTACAGTGACAACTTTGTAAATATGGCTTTTTCACCCTTCCTGCTTCTCTCCCAGGTTCTGGAGCAATAATTGCTGCCATCGTGGTGGGGGTGATTATTATTTTCACAGTGGTTCTGCTCATCTTGAAAACATACAACAGGTATGTGGCCAAGTCCTGTAGTCACCAAGAGAAACCAGGATGAACCAAAGTCCCTGCTCTCAGCTAACAGAGCATTACAGGGCTTGTTGCTGAAAATTTCCAGGAGATTCTAAGTACTAAAGTGCTGATTGCAGTGTACTGAATCTCACTGTCAGTGCTCTGTGATTGGATCACAGGAAGCACAAAGAGCTCCTTGATGGAGGCTGCATGGTGGGAGCTCTTTTTAGGGATTCCTGGTGATGCAGGGAAAGGTTTGAGTGTGTACCAAGGCTGCCAGAGGGGGACCTTGATTCCTCACTTCTCAGAGCTCACATGCTCTGCGAGGACTTCTGGTACCTTTGGGATGAAATCCTGGCTTGGTTTGACTGGGTTGTGTGGGAATCTCCCCAGAACTTACCCTGGGAGAGGAGATTCCAGCCCCAAGGTGCCAATTCCCCCTGTACCTTTTGCCAGGCGCATGCGAGTGCGGCGGGAGCTGGAACCCAAATCCTCCAAGCTGGCAGTGCCACCTCCTGTGGGGCACAACAGCCACAGCCTGGCACAGCAGCCCTCGGTCACCTTCATCCCTGTGGACATCCACCTGCAGAGCAGGTAACCAGGAACACTCAGCCTCCCTGCCAGAGAAGAGATGGAATTGTTACCCCGTGGACCTGGGACTCCTCGGAGCTGCTGCTCTCTCTGTACATTGACAGAAATCCCGGTTTCTTTCTTTGGGAGGGAAAACCAGAGGTCTGGACACTTTTCCTATGGCTGAAATAACAGGTGGAGGTCTAGGAATCATCAGGATGGCAGCAAGGCCTCTTGTGGGTCTGGATAAACCAAGAGAAGATGCCCAGGTTTTGTGGAACTTTTGCTTCCTCAGAGACTTTGAACTTTCTCTGTTCTGCTGATAAGCAGGAGGAAAAGTCTGGATGTGCCCCAGGCTCAGGTTGGAGTTTGTTACAAGTTACATGGAAGAGGTTTGTGGTTTATTTTATACTTGATGGGTAGTGCAGGAGCTATCAAAATTGTATTTATCTTTACTTATATTTCATGTTTCTAATGCCACGTATGTACAGGCTGAGGAAAAAGAAGTTACTTTTTATTTTCACGTATTTTTTAGCTATTTCTATAAACTCTGTAACTCTCCATTTCCAAAGGAACTCGGTGTCTGAGGGGTTTCACTCTCAGTTCAGGTTCATGGCTGCAGCTGTGTTAGATTGCTTTGTCTTACACAAAATCTGAGCTCTTTAACTGAAAAAAATAACCACGGAAATAGAAAAAAATCAGCTTGGATAAAGCAAGGGAGGCTCTGTGCAGCCCCAATGTGCCACTCACCCTGCAAGGCTTTGTTCTCTGGTGCAGCCCAACTATTTTTAGCAGTTTTTTATTCTCCAAACCAACCCAAAGCGAGGTTGTTCTGTGAGTGTGAGGGCTGTGGGTGTGCAGCAGAGGCACAAAGGAATTCCCAGGGACACTCACAGCCCACGGGGTGGGAACACAGAGCAGCATTGTCAGACACTGACTGGCAGATTGTCTGAGATTTTATATTTCATATTCTTTCCTTGGATCTCTTGAGCAGGTCAGTTTAACTAATTGGTAATTTTTAATTGTGCAGAAACTAAATTCAATTACTTTGCAGTATTCTTCTTTTGGCTGAAACTGGAGCATGGTTTGGATTCCAAAACAAATATTGAGACAGCTGTTTGTGAAGTTTCTGAATCTCTTTGTAAATATTCCCCTTGTCCTGGTTCTCTACCTTATTTTTTGTGGCAGGAAGGATTTATTTAATAATTCAGAGGGGACAGCAGATGCACATCTAATTTTTTTCAAAAAAAATACAAAGGAGTTGATTTTCTCTGAGCAGTTCCATGGGATCAAACCAAGACTTTTAGGAAAGATAAGCCCATCTTACTGTTGTGGTTTTGAACATCCCTAGCCAGATCTACTTGCAGCAAAATTTGTTTACTCTCCATTTGCTTCATTTCAAGCCAATGAAGTTCACAAGCAGAATAAGCAGAGCTACTACAAGCAGCTCCAGTTTCCCAGAATTACTATTATTGGCAGCAGAACTGGCTGCTGTGACCACACCAGCACTGCTCCAGCTGAAAAATTCAAATACCAGTAAAATTTGCCTCAGATTGGCACCTCCTGGGGGGCCCCAGAGCCCCTCCTGGCAGCAAAACCCAGAGCTCATGCTGAGCAAGCAAAACCACCTTCTCAAGAAGCAAAAATCCCCGTTCTGTGCCATTTGAGCTTTCCAGGAACAATCCCACACTCTCCCTGCCCTGTTAACTGCAGGGCTGATCCAGCCTGCCCTGATTTGGCCCCCAGGTTCCACTTCCAAACACACAGATTTTGGGAATGTTCCCCTTTAGCTGGCCCTGTCTTGCAAGAATCAATGGCTGGTTTTTTCCTCCTAAAAGTTCTCCAGGATCTTCAGCAGGTCAGATCCTCCAGCTGGAATTTCACTGATCCAGACACTCTAGTAAAATGTTTAATTTTTCGCTGCTGGCTAAGTCCTGATCCCAAACCTCAGTTTTCCTCTTTTATTTCCATCCTCCTTATCCCAGCAGAGAGCACGGAGCTCCACCTAGTGTCCTCCTGCCTTCCCACGGGTTTTAACTGCTGTTTCTCAACAAAAGCATAAAGCAATTCCAGCTTTAGCTGTCAGCTTTACTAAATTCCCTCATCCACGGTGCCAGGGCTGTTGAGCAGCCAAGTCGAGCATCCAAGTTTATCCAAGTTTGGGATAAACTTGCAAAACTCAGATCATTATAAGTCTAAGCCGATAAAATAATTTCCTGTGGGTTTTATTCCTGAGTCCCATAACCAATTTATTTCCCAAAAACGCATCTGTAATTCAGGCCAGGAGGAGCCATACAGATCAGTGACCTGTACCAGTCACACCAGTTTGTCCTGAGTGGGATGCAGTGGACAGCTCATGATACGTCCTCAGGAAAAGAAAGACAAGGAGCTGCTGGAGGGGGTCCAGCAGAGGCCACAAAGATGATTTGGGGTCTGGAGCATCGCCCTCATGAGGGGAACTGGCCCTGGTCAGTCTGGAGAAGGGATGGCTGAGCAGAGATCCCATAAATCCATAAAATATCACCAAGGGGTGTCAAAGGATGGTGCCAGACTCTGTTCAGGGACAGGACGAGGAGCAAGGGCTATAAACTAAAATACAACGAGTTCCACCTCAACATGAGGCAGAACTTCTTTCCATGAGGATAGCACAGCCCTGGAACAGCTGGAGACTGTGGGGCCATCCCAAACCCACCTGGAGCTGCTCCTGTGCCACCTGCTCCAGGTGACCCTGCCTGGGCAGGGGGTTGGACTGGATGATCTCCAGAAGTCCCTTCCAACCCCAACTCCTCTGGGGTTCTGTGACCTCTTCATAACCCTGCCTCCCGGCCAGAGACCCCTGTTAAGCCGGGAAGGACTCGAGGGGCCCTTGCCGAAGGGTCGCACCCGAGGGCTGAGGCGGTTGTGCCCTCACGGCCCTACCCGGCCCCACCGCCATCCCTGAGGGAGCCGCGGCCGTGAGGGCACCTGAGATCTCGCGAGATGCCGACATCAGCAATCGCTGCAGCGGCCAACATCTCGCGACAGCGCGACTCACACACCCACTCACCCCCACGCGCGCCGGAGCAGCCGCGCTCTCTCATTGGCCCGGCTCCCTCGCGCGCGCCGACCCTCCACCAATCAGCGGGCGGCGGAGGGAGATCCTGCGCGGCGCGAGCCCGGTCCCGCCCACCCGCTCGCGCCCCTCCCGCCTTCCCTCCTCTCCCCCACCCCCGGCACGGCTGAGGGGGCGCGCGGTGCACGCCGGGACGGCAGCGCGCGCCGCGGCCGGGAGGAGGCGGAGGAGCCAAGATGGACGCCGGGTTCTTCCGCGTAAGTGCCGGCCCGGGGGGCCCTGAGGGCGGGCGGGCGGTGCGGCGGCCACGCCGGGGCACGGGGGGCACCGCCAGGCCCCGCTGCAGGTCCGCGCTGGAGCCGCGCTGCCCCGCGCGGCGCCGCCGTGCCCCCCCGCCCCCGCCCTGCGCAGGCTCCTCGCCGCGGAGAAAATGGCGGCGGGAAGAGGCCGCGGCGGCGCGGCCCGGGCGGCAGCGGGGGGGGATCGAGCGTGTCCGGGCCGGGCTCGGCACGGGGGGGAAGCTCCGCGGTCCCCCCGGGGCTGCGCTCCCCGGCCAGGCCCTGCACGGGGCCCTGAGCCGCCTCTGCCCCGGAGGTCCCGACCCACGCGGGGTCGTGTCACCGCTGCGACCCCCGAGCTGCGGGGGGGGACGAGGGGCTCTGAGGGTCGAGCCCGGCTTTGCGCTGTTCGTGTTCTTTAGTGTCCACGTTCAAAGCGAATAAACGGCCCTGCCTTTATTTTTAGTGAGATTTTTTTTTCGAGGTTATTAAGTGTCTTCGTAACAGGAGGAAGTTAGGCTGTATTCATCTGTTGGTATTTTGTTTTCAATCCTTGAGTTTCTTCTCTAGTCTTAAAGCTGTGGTGCATTTCCTACAGAGACCATGAAACCTACCAGGGTCTATTTCTTTTCGGCTTTTTCCTCCATTATTTAAAATACCTTATTTTGGGGGTTTCCGTGATAATTTTGAGAACCAATCTAAATTTCAAGGTTCATTCATTTGTTCAGCCCATATTATTTTCATTTCCTGCAGCTGGGATGCTTTTTAAACACGACAGCACACATAAGCCTTCCCTCAGTTCAGTTCTGTGTTCGTGGACTAACTTGAGAAAAATAATTGCAGATAAAATCCCCACTTATTCTAATGCAGTTGTTAAAAGGTTTACAAATCAGGTAGTTGTGATTGACAGCGGGATTACTGAGGCTGAAAACTCTGGATTAGAAATCTAATATTCTTTTAAACTGGCCTCTGGAAGGTGGCATTTTATAACAACCAAAGCAGCACGGCACTGATGTGAGGCTGTGAACAGTGTTCTGGTTTTATTCTGGCTTCAGGAGGAACCAAATGTGAAATGACAGAAATGCAGGAGAGCAGCAATTAGGACTCCCCATACCAAGCAACCTCCTATTTATAATTATGTCAGTTCTTCACATTTCTGTGACATTTCAGTTCAGACTATTTTTTTGTCTGTCTTTCAATTTCCGTAGCCCCCTTGCTCTGTCCTGTTTGGTTCCCTTTGCTGTTTGCCACGTGTTACCAACAAGAAACTTCCTTTCCATTTTCCTTCTGGGTTGTGAAATAATTAAAAAAAAAAAAAAAACCAAAACCAAAAGAACATTCAGTTGTTGAGTGAAACTGGCAAGTGTTGTGGTTTTTTTGTAAGCCACCCAGTGGACAGCAAATACTGTAAAGAGTTTTAATCCCTGGAAGTGCCTGTGCCACAGTCAGACTTTAGGATTCCCATGTTCTGGAATAGCAAATGGGAATGGCAGTGGATTGTTCCCTTTCAATAACTGATGACTTTGCAACATGTTACATTGCTAATTCCAGGTGCTTTCTGACCAAAGTAAACTTAGAATTTGGGGCTTTCTCTTCTTTGTTATTATTTAATTCCTTGACAATTTCTATTTTTACTTGTACTGAGCCGTGTTCTTCCATTGAGAGCTACCTGTATAAAATTCCCTGCTTTCCTTCCATCAGTTACACTGTTTCCAGAATAAACTTCCCAAGCTTTGGGTTTGTCCTCAGTCATGAGCAGCCCATCAGGATCTGGATGCAGCCCTGCATCTCCTTTAATTCCTGCCTGTTCCTGTTTACTTCTCTGCCAGTAAATTTTCCAGAACTGGGCTTCCAGGTCTTTCCCTCCATAATGAATTAACCTACAGCTCCTGTCCGTGGAAATGGAGCCAGTTGGTGAACTTTTAACAGAGCAGGATCAATAAAATGCATTCTTTGTACTCCTCTGCTCCCTGCTTTGCCTCAGGGAAACAGCCCAAAGGTTTCAGAGGTGTCACCATAAGCAAACAGCACGTTTTTATTCTTGGACAGAGGAAAAAACACTTCATTTCTTTTATAAATGAATTAATAAAGCCTTTTCCTGGCAGTTTGATGCTGCTAATACTTTATTTTTGGGCAGTGCCCCGGGGTTTTATGATTGAGGTATCACTGTGGGGCTCAAAAGCTGCTCACCCCAAAATCCTCAGCACTTGGTGAGAGCTAAAATTGCAAAGCACCTGGAAAGGCTTCTTTTGCCTGGAGTAAGTGACAAAAACCCAGCCTCACAAATTGGTTTCACTCATGCACTGTGCAGACATGGGGGAAAATAATCCTTGGAGGAGGTTGAAGGCCCCCCAGGCTGAAACTGTTGTTTGCTGTGCTCCAGGGAACCAGTGCAGAGCAGGACAATCGCTTCAGCAACAAGCAGAAGAAGCTGTTGAAGCAGTTGAAGTTTGCAGAATGCTTAGAAAAGAAGGTAAGTGGGATGGGGGAATAGAGAGTAAAACTCACCAGTCAGAGAATTTCAGGGGGAACTGAGGAATGTCTTCCCTAAAACCATGCTGGAGGATATTTGGAATATCTGCTTGAGCATCAGATGCAGCAGTGATATCAATGATCTGGTTAATGTACTAAATATCACCAGCAGGCTTTTGTGTAGCATACAGCTTGACAAGAGGTCAGCTTTCCAGCAAATACGGATTAATTTGGAATTCTGAGCATCCTTAAATGCAGCCCTAAATTGTTGGAGTCTGGTAGACAGGGGAAGTGGTGAGCCTGGATCAAGACTTGCTTTATCATTCAGTTTCAGTTCTTTTCATTTCATTATTTACTTGGCATGACCAATAAATCCTACAGGATACAAGTTTCACTTTGGTTTCCCCCCTCTTGCTGGAACTTTAATAAAGTTTACTAGAAATTTGCTTTGTTTTGACTTCTGTTACCATCTCTGGTTTCTAATTTTAGCTGCTCAGGAGAGGGAAGTCTATATTAGGAAAGAAATAAAAGTGTATCCAAAGGTGTGCTTTGATCAAACTGTAACCTCTGCTGAACAGCAGCAAAGTGGTTTGAAACAAAACTAGGCTGAGGTAATAATGAAGCAGCACAAAATAGGAGTTGAGGGTTCCCTGAGCTCTGTATTTAGTGACAATGTTGTGTTTCTCCTGGCTCTTCGATACAGGTGGACATGAGCAAAGTAAATCTGGAAGTAATCAAACCATGGATAACAAAACGAGTAACAGAAATCCTTGGATTTGAAGATGATGTAGTAATTGAATTTATATTCAACCAGTTGGAAGTGAAGGTAACAATTTTGTTGTGGATATTGTTTCTAAATGTGTAACATAATTATTTATGAATTCTATTGAATCTGTGAATTTCTCAAGTACAGTTAGGAGGGGTTTTGTTACTTTGTATATTTTTGAAAGAAATTCACTGTGTAACAGCTGTAAGGCTGGAAGTTTAGTGAAGGTGCATAGTTTGCAAACTGCTCAGGTGAAAAAAATCAAACTTACTGTTTTAATTTTGCTGTTACATGTTAAGTTACTTTGACAGCAATTTTCTAATGATGATGTGATTTATGATTTAAAAGGCCTGAACCAAAATGGAAGTTATTCCTTGCGTCTGAAGTATAGCACCATCACCTTATTAGGTCACAGCAGAGTGAGTGTCCAATGTCGCTCTGACCCAACTCCCTTGATGATGCAGTGTGTGTTTGGAGGTGAGTTGTGTAAAGTGGCCGAACCAAAACATCCAGGAAAGAGCAATTGGGCAAAGCTTTACACTGCTCTTGAAATTACTGTAAAGTAGCTCAGGTTTTGTGTGCAGCATGAGGGGAATTCTGAATTGATCCGATGGTAATTTAATGGAGAGTGCTGGAGTCAGTGTAGACACCTCATCTATAGATATGTTAATTTTTCCTTTTGCTAATTGCTGTAGGCAGTATTTACAATTAGTATTTGTATTTGCCATAGTTAATCTTCAGTCTGATACACGAGATCTTTTAATGCAGTAAACTTCTTGTGAAGGCTATGAATAATATGAGGTGGTAATAAACTCAGTTTTTCTTAATATCTGCCACTGTGCCACTGCAACCCAAGGGACAGTAAAAAGCTGTACAATACGAATTATTGGCAAACATTCTCATGCTGATGTACTTTACACTTAATCTTTCTTCCTAAGAGTTCAACCTTGTGTTTTGAGAGAACAGTTGACATTTCAACTGATAAAGGTATTGCTGTTTAAAAAAAAAACTTTAAATTTCACTTTATTTTGAAGATGTTATTATCTATTTCATGAATATTTAGATACTTTTATGTATAGAGAACAAAAAGGGGAAATAATTTTAAATACTAAATTAATTACTAATTAAAGCCAGGGGTCGTAATAGGAAATGTTTTCTTATCATGTGTTAGTGTAATACAATCTGAATACTCACTTTAATTCCCCTTATACTAAGCATGATTAAAGTTTAGAACTTTTTTAAAAGAACAATCTTTTTCTTTTTTTGTGGTTGTGTACTCATTATTGCTTGTTCGTCTTTTGCAATTTAGATAAATGATATAACATTAAACTCAAGGTGGTTGAGTTGCAGTAGGGAGTCGGAAGCAAGCCAAGGGAACATCTTTCTCTACAGGGGACTTGGCGATTCCAAACCCCCCAAGGTTCCAAGAAGAAACTGAAGACACCTGGAATCTGTACTTGCTTTGTGCTGTTGAGCTGTGCTTGTTATATGGACCTTGTTGCTTGACCAACAAACGATATTAGAATTTAAAAGCCCATTTTAACTTTGAAACCTTTTTGACCTCTTAACCCTTTGTGGACATGACATGGTGACATTGAGGACAATCTGTAAGGCACCTACGTAGCTTGTGCTCCCTCAGGCAGGCAGAGCCTTAGTTTGGGAGAAAGTCAGAAAATGCATGCATGACTCTTGGCCTTTCACAGCAGGAGGAGAGGGATTAGCAGGCTGCCATCTCCAGTGCTAGGCACTGACACAGCTTCTGTCCCTTGTGCAGATGTTAAGAGAGAGATTTCCAAGCAAGCAGAATCAAAACCACCAGGAAAATTATGTTTAGAGTGTAATTCTGAAATCTCATAGCAGCATTGTAAATGGTGTGTTAAATTAAAGGCCCCTGATTTCCTGTAGAGCAGCCACACAGTCCAAAAATACTTCCAAAACCCACAAAGGATTAACAGGCCTTTCTGAATATTTATGGTAAGGCACAAAAAGAAAAAAAAAATTAATAGTACAATAAACTTATATTGATGAGAAATGACTAGGGAAAGATTTTTAAAAAGTAGTTTTTGAGTGTATATGTATTTTAGCCCCCATAGTAGTTTTAATTTAAGTTTAATATAGACTGTCTGTTGTTTTTTCAGATAACCTGTTTGTCTTCCTGTCATATCTCTTTGCAGAACCCAGATTCCAAAATGATGCAAATCAACCTGACTGGTTTTTTGAATGGGAAAAATGCTAGGGAGTTCATGGGAGAACTGTGGCCACTGCTATTAAGTGCACAAGAAAACATTGCTGGTATTCCAACTGCATTTCTGGAACTGAAGAAAGAAGAAATAAAACAACGACAGGTAGGATTCTTTTAAATGGATTTGTGGGTGGGTGGGTTGTGAGCTTGGGTCAGAATTGGTGGCTGTTCCAGTGGTGTTTTGGGATCAGCAGAACTCTGATGTCTGGGCAAAATGTTGCAGTCCCAAAGCAGATATTTGCTGGTGTTGGACATGCATATTTGATAAGGTCTGTGTGCTGCCTCTGAGCTAAGTGCTGATATTTGGTTGCACAGATAGAGCAGGAGAAACTGGCTTCCATGAAGAAACAAGATGAAGACAAAGAGAAGAGAGATAAGGAAGACAAAGACAACAGAGAGAAAAGAGACAGATCCAGAAGTCCAAGAAGGTAATGAAAATGCACAGGCAGCATATCAGGAACACAGGGAGGACACGTGGCAGAGAGGAATTAATTGAGCTGTGGAAATACTCCCCTTAGCTATTGTAGCAGGCTGGCCTGACCTACTGCTGAACAGGAACTGCAAGTAACCCAGAGCAGCTGTGACAGGGGTGCTGTTTTTAGTGCTTTATCTAGTCCAGGCTTTGTTAGGTTTAGTTTCGAAGGGGTTGGGTTTTTTGTTGGACGTCTTAATTTGTCCATCAGTTAGCAGCAGACAGCGCAGTCCTGCGTGTGCTGTGAATGCTGCAGCCGGTGCTGGGAGTCTCTGGGTGCAGGGGGCTGCGTGCTGCTGCCTGTCCCAGCGCTCTCAGTGTCCCCGTGTGTGTCCCCAGGCGCAAGTCCCGCTCTCCCTCCCCGCGGCGGCGCTCGTCTCCCGTGCGCCGCGAGCGGAAGCGCAGCCACTCCCGCTCCCCCCACCACCGCACCAAGAGCCGCAGTGCCACCCCTGCCCCCGAGAAGAAAGAGGCCACTCCTGAGCCAGAGCCCTCCGTGAAACCAAAGGAGACTGTTGTGCAAGAGGCAACTTCAAACAGGTGAGAATTGTCTCTGAAAAATTGAATTATTATCCTCATGCCTCACTGGAGCTTGGCTTGGGCAATGCCTGCTCCTCCCTGTGCCCCTGCAGCAGCCAAAGCATTTATTTTAGAATCTCCTGTGTAGAATTCCAAGGGCAGCGTGCTTTGCTGCCACTGTGATTTCATTGTCCTGGTCATCACTGACACTTGTGACAATGTCATCTTGACTTCCAGCTGGTTGTCATCATGTAGCCTCTATGTTACTGATTCTCCTTTTTGCATCATTGTACCACATTCAAACTTTTCGCACTTCTGGAGCAATTTGTCAGAGAACAGGCAGGAGAATGTTTTAGGGGAATATCTTGGCAACTTTTAAACGTTACTCAGCAGGCTGTGGTTTGTATGTGCTTACAAATGAAGTCCTTATTTTTAACAGTGATATCCCAAAAGCTCCTAAACCTGAACCTCCTGTACCAGAGACTAAGGAAACTTCACCAGAACGTAATTCAAAGAAGGAAAGGGAGAGGGAGAGGGAGAGGGAGAGGGAAAAGGAGAAGGAGAAGACTCGTCAGAGATCCCCAACTCGGTCCAAGTCCAGGTCAAGGTCCCGATCTCGTTCTCCATCTCATTCTCGACCCAGAAGGCGCCATAGATCTCGGTCAAGGTAGGGCTTCAGGTGCTGCCTGTGAAGGCTGAGAATATTTTCTGCTTAATGTTCTTGGTTAGTGATGTTTTTAGAGGTGTTGAGCTGGGAATGTTGTGGGCCAAATGAGAAGGATGCATTTGGTGCATAAATGTGTTTGGGAGTGTTTTATTTGTACTGATTTATGACAAGATGCTCACGGTGACCAGAGCTGATGGGAGAAGGAATTGGGCTGCTTAATACTGATAATGGGAGTTGGGTAGCCTTTCTTTAGGACATAGGTTTGATACTGGAAATGGGAAATTAAAAAAGGAGGTAAAGAATGTGTTATTGTACTGCTTAATAGAAACACGTTAAACTTCAAAGCCCTGATCCTGCCTGTACATTTGGCATCCTCACCTAAATACAGCCTTAATACGATGCACTTGCAGGAAAACAACTCTGCACTCAGTGCCCCGAGGATACATTTCCTCAGCTAGGGAAGTTAGGTAGCTGCTTTTCAGTGGGATTTCTGATTGTGCCCGGCCTTCCTCCCCTAGAAGACGACCCAGCCCGCGGCGCCGGCCGTCCCCGCGCAGGAGGAGCCCGCCCCGGAGAATGCCTCCCCCACCCAGGCACAGGAGGAGCAGATCCCCCGTGAGGCGGTAAGAGCCCTGCTTTTTGAGCCAGCTGGAAGTGCTAAACCTGCAAAGTTGAAGGGAACTGTAGCTGTGTTAGCAAAATTCCCTGGTTCATCTCACCTTAGCGCTGGCAGGTGTGTGATCAGAGCGATGGAAAAACTGCGCTGTCACATTTCCTGAGTGTGTTGTGGGGGAACACAACTGCAGATTGAAATGATTTCTTCTGAGTTAGGACAGTGATGAGAATTCCACCTTTTTGAAAAGTGGCAATTTCAGAGCTTTGTTTCTTTTTTACTTCTTCGTATGGCTCTGGGTAGCTCCCAGCACAGACTGACATGACATCTCTTAAGGCTTAAGTCTTAGTACTTTCCTGCCTGGGGAAAAAAAAATGAGAACAAGTAATTGAATCTTACTCGTTGGGAATTTTTAATTATAACTTGTATTTCTAGCACGTAAAATTAAATTTGGACTTGAAATATGTTTCTTCTTCATGTTCTCTTACTTAAGATTCTTCAAGATTTGCCCTTTGGTGTTGAAAGTCACATTTTTCACAGCGTAAGAGTTGTCCTAGAGGCAAAGCTCTTAGCTGCCTTGCAGAGTAAATGATGTGCTTTTGGCAGTTTCAAAATAGACATTTTACTTCATGTGGAGAGAACAGATTCTGATCCTCTTTATAGGAAGAGAATCAAAGTGATACTTCTTGTGTACAGCAGTTGTTTTTGAGGAAGGAACACTTCTCTTCCTTTCTGTGACAAGGTGATGACTATTTCCTGAGTTTGTCAATATGTTCATTTCACACAGTTACTGGGAAAACTGTGAAAAGTATCAAACATGTATGTTGCAAGATGTACAAGAGCTCCCTTTCAGCAAATGTTTATCTCACTCAAGGTAGGGTTTCTTTTTTCCAGGTTCTCAGGAATTCTGCAGCCAAAGGTGGATTCTGCAGGTACACAATTGCAACAGAACTTGCCACAAATTTTGCCGCAGAATTCTGAGGCCCTACCTTTTAAAATTGCAGAGTAAAGATGAAAGACTAAAACATAAGGCTGGATAGATCGATTCTGAATTGTTAAGTTGTTAAGTTGCCTGAAATTTTCACCTCCTGGTGTAAAACGTTTTAGTGTCTTGGCACACTAAACTCTTACCCAGATCTGCTCTGGGGATCATTAAGTCACACGTGCTAACACAGACAATTATCTTAACCACCCAGAAGTTAGAGAGCCCAACCAAAACTAATTGTTTCCAGGGGCAAAGCTTAGCTGTAGCCTGTAGATGGACAGAAAGCCAGTGAAGGTGACACTAACAATTTTTAGCTCACTATTGTAGTTTAAGAATAACTGTGAAAGATTGGTCGTTATCCTCCTCTTCTCCAAACCGAGTGTTGCAGGCTGTCCACCATGTTTGGGAAGTGCTGTTGTCTGTGGCTCAGTGTCTGTGCTTGCAAACAACTGCAGTTCTTTGTTCTTTGTGCTGAGATGTTCCCCTCTGTGGCCGGCCAGGACCTGATGTGGGCTTTTGATTTACAGGAGAAGACGTTCCTCAGCCTCTCTGTCCGGCAGCAGCTCCTCCTCCTCCTCATCGCGCTCCCGCTCTCCACCAAAGAAGCCTCCCAAGAGACCCGTGTCCAGCCCCCCCCGCAAAACTCGCCGCCTGTCCCCCTCTGCCAGCCCCCCCCGGCGCCGCCACCGGCCCTCGCCCCCCGGCAGCCCCCCGGCCAAGCCCCGCCGCTCGCCCAGCCCCCAGCAGTCCAACCGCGCCCGCAAGAGCCGCGGCTCCGTCTCGCCCAGCAGGGCTTCAGGTGAGGGGCAGCACCCCCAGTCAGGCATTGCCTCTGGGCCTTTGTGCCTTCTGTAGGGCTGGAAAAGCGTGGAATTGAAGCTGAGCTGTTTCGTTTTGTCTCGTAGCACCCAAACATAAGAGTACTGAGAAAAGAGAATCTCCTTCGCCAGCACCCAAGCCCAGGAAAGCAGAGTTGTCGGAATCAGGTACGGCTCTGGCTTCTCAGCTCTGCTCCTGGGTGGGGCTTTGAGTCAAAAATACTTGGGCAGTGAAGTGCTGGGCCCTCCTGGAAGGCTGGTGTTGAAAGCAAGAGTGTTCAGAGCTCTGCTGGTGAGGTGATCACTCCTACTGCCTCATTCTATCCAAGATTGCCCAGAATAAAATACACTTTCAGCACAGGTGTATTCCAGCCTTAGGTTATCCTAAGATTTGAGTGGGGAAAAAGCCCACACTTGGTGGTCTGCTGCCCATAACTTTGCTTCTGCCTGCATAAGGCAAATCTGTATCCTTGGTTGAAGTGCCCTGTCCTTGTGTGTCTTTTCAGAAGAAGACAAAGGAGGCAAAATGGCTGCAGCAGATTCTGTCCAACAGAGGCGCCAGTACAGGAGGCAAAATCAACAGTCTTCATCTGGTATGGAGCACAAAAATTCCCTAAAACTGGGTTGCAGTTTACTTCTACAGGAAGTAGTTAAGCTCAAATACAGATTAAAACTATTTGCTCTCTGCTCTGCAGTGCTATTGTAAACTTAATTACAGATTTGCCACTCATAATGAGGTCACATTAATTATTGCTCAGGAAGAATGAAACTATGACTTTTAAAGGTTATTACATCTTTTGTTAATGGGTTTGCAGCTTTAAAAGTTGCACTTCTAGACTCTTAACATCACACACAAAGATTGTGTGCTGTGGATTACCTCATCTGTCCTTACTTTAGACTCTTTTATGCTTGACATCAGTAAATTCACCTGGCTATTTTTGTCCACATAGTTTCAAAAAGCAACTACAGTTCACTTTTAAAATTATCTGTTTAGCCAAATATCATGGGGACAGTTAGGTCATTGCAAGCATTTTTACCTGCTTCCATTAGATTTATTTATCACTTTAGTTCAACCAACACCTTTAGTTGATCTGCTTTTAAATTTCGGCTTCTCGTTTTGCGGGAGGGGAGCTCGCTTTGAACTGCAGCATTACCCTGTCAGTGAGCAGTGCCACAAGGATCATTTCCCAGAGAGTGATTCTTCTACGTTTGCAGATTCTGGTTCTTCATCTTCCTCAGAAGAGGAGAGGCCCAAGAGGTCGAACGTGAAGAACGGGGAGGTGGGCAGGCGCCGCCGGCACTCGCACTCGCGCAGCCCCTCGCCCTCGCCCCGCCGGCGCCAGAAGGATTCCTCCCCTCGGTAACTGCCTGAGCTTAACTCATCCCTTCCTCTTATTCACTCTTTATCTCTCACCAATTACACATCGAGTCATGCCCACTCTGCCCAGTCTTTTTCAAGATTTCCTTCCCATTACACTCATTCGGTAAAAATCGCTCTGACGGGTTTTTTTTTTTTTATGGTGTTCATTTTTGCCTCAGATCCGTGGCAGATAGATTTGTTGTTTTGTTTTGTTTTCCCTCCACTGCTCTCAGGATGCAGATGGAAAAGAGGTGGCAATCCCCAGTGATGAAAAGGTTAGTTAGAAGTTCATATCTTAAACAGGCTGTTGTTTATTTTGGCATGGATAAGCATTTGCCACCCTTTGTCCTTTAGACTTGCACATTCACGGTGAGGGAAATCCAGGCTGATGTGTTCCTTCGGACCCATTTCACTGGCAAAAAGAGAAGGGACAGCACCTGCTCTGTGTCCCTCACTGTTCACCCCTTGTTAATTCACATCAGCCTGTGACATCAATAACTTTGATTTTTTACATCTCTCTGATGCCAGAAAACAGCTGAACACTTGTGTTCCTCAGGGGTTCCTCACTCCACACACCCAGCTTTGGGTGAGCAGTGTTGGATTCCTGCTGCCACTGACTCAAACCCTCCTGCACACTTGCAACAAGCAATCAAGATCTTGATCTTCTGGGTCCGAGATGATTGGAGTTTTCAAAATTCTCATCCCTCGGTTCATGAGATATTTGGGACTACTGGAAGTAGACAATCAGTAAAACAGCAGTGACTTCTTTATTTGTGACACTTTTTGCTCTGTGTTGATCTAGGAATACAGAAAGGTGAAGGAAGCCTGATGGGTTTATTAACTGGATTTAATGACCCTTGAGCAGGCTGTAATTAAGCCCAAGCTAGCAGATACTCAGAGCACACATCATGATGTAGGAGATAAGGATGACTCCCTCACCAATTCAGACCTTCCTAATTATGGATCCTGTCAAACATTTCTATGGAAAACAGGTTGGGATTCAAAGGCTTTGATCTTGTTTTGCAACAGACTGAATTCACGTACTGCCTGTTGCATAAATACATGTTTAATTAGGACTCTTAGTACATTTGAAGGCTGGGGGTTTTTTGGATCATAAAAGAACATTGTATTTTGGAGCAAACTCTTATCTATAAAAGTGTGTCTCATTGCCTTGGAGAACAATACCCAGCACATTTGAAATCAAATCTCACTTCGTGTAAATGAGCTGCTTTGCTTTTTAATTGCTCTCATTTTTCCCTTATCCAGTCATTTTATCTTAATTGCTTTTTTTAAAAAAAAGGAATATTTCACTTTACCAAGATTCCTCTCCTTTAAAATTCTATGCAAGTATATGTTGGATTAAAATTCCCCCTTCCAGAAGTGTTTTGTAAACCCTGCAAAGGAGAACATGGCTCATTTGGTGAACAGTTTTAATCAAGAGCTGCAGTTTAGCAACCACTCTGGGTTTTTTTCACTGCATTTCAAGAATTAAATAATATTGGATTTCAAATGGGGCACAGTTTCACACTGTGAAGAAAATTGACTCCACCCAAAGCAAAATCAGCACATGATCCATCATTTATTGCAACCACTTGGTGTTTATCTGGCTACGAGCTGGTGATGGATCAGGGATCAGATTGTGCAGATGTGGAATTGTGTCCTGGCTGATGTGGTGGGCTCAGGGTCACAGTGGGACACCTGAGAGGGGCTCAGGGTCACAGTGGGACACCTGAGGGGGGCTCAGGGTCACAGTGAGACACCTGAGATGGGCTCAGGGTCACAATCAAACCCTCACCATTTCACGCTCTTCAGGAAGATTTAAGTGCATTTTTTTCCGTTAATGCTCCCAGTAGACTTCCACTTAAAGGTGCATGAAGGAGCAGATTTTGCGTGGTGGAAGCAGAGCACAGAGCAGCTGCTGGCTCAGCCGGCAGTGTCCTGATCAATCCCTGTTTTCTGCAGCAGGAGGAGGAGGAGCCCCTCGCCGCCCCCCGCCCGCCGGCGCCGCTCCCCGTCCCCGGCACCACCGCCCCGGCGCCGCCGCTCCCCGTCCCCGCCTCGCCGAAGGTACCACCCGGGCAGCACTGCCTGCTCTGGCCCTGGGGGCTTCTCTGGGCATGGGAGAAGGGCCCTGCTCCCAGTGCCTTCACTGGGAAACTGAGGGGGTTGTGTTGTGTTGGGGAGGTTGGGTGTGGTGGGTGCACGGTCTGGATGTCATTGGGTTGCTTCTGCAAATTCGGAATCATGGAACCGTGGGTTGGGTTGGGTTGGGTTGGGTTGTGATGGATCTTAAAGATCATCCAGTGCTACCCCTTGCACCTTCTACTAGCCCAGATTGCTCCAAGCCTTGTCCAACTTCCACTTGTTCCAACTTGGCCACTTCCAGGGATGGGACAACCACAACCTTTCTGGATAACAGCTTTTAAAGAGTTTTATTTTAAACTCTTAAAACTTGTAAAGAATTCTAGTTTAACCTTTGAGGAGTTCAAAGAGCTCTAGAGTCCTTTTCCCCCTCTCAGGGTGCACTGCAGGGCTCTGCTGACTGATTGCCACGCCTGAACATTTGTTCTCTTTGCAGGTCTCCATCTCCACCCCCGCGCAGACGTTCTCCCTCTCCACGGAGATACTCCCCCCCAATCCAGAGGCGATATTCCCCATCTCCCCCTCCCAAGAGGAGAACAGCTTCTCCTCCTCCCCCTCCCAAAAGAAGAGCCTCCCCTTCCCCCCAGTCCAAGCGCAGAGTCTCCCACTCCCCACCACCAAAACAGAGGAGCTCCCCATCTGCAAAGCGGCGCTCCCCTTCCGTATCTTCCAAGCACAGGAAGGGGTCTCCTCCCAGCAGATCCAACAGGGAAACGCGTTCTCCACCACAAAACAAAAGGCATTCACCTTCACCACGGCCTCGAGCTTCCCACCCCTCCTCCAGCCCTCCGGCGCCGCGCCGGGGGTCGGCGTCGCCGCAGAGGAGACAGTCACCCTCCCCCAGCAGCCGGCCCATCAGGAGGGTGTCCAGGACGCCAGAACCCAAGAAAACAAAGTAAAAAAACCCCACTTTGTCTGCTTTGGGTTTGATGAGGGGTTGTTGTTTAGTTATAATGCAGTGAAAGTGGTTAAGGAATCATAGAATATCCCAGAATGGTTTGGGTGGGAAGGGGCCTTAAATCCCATCCATTGCCATGGCAGGGACACCTCCCACTGTCCCAGGCTGCTCCAGGTCCCATCCAGCCTGGCCTTGGGCACTGCCAAGGATCCAGGGGCAGCCACAGCTGCTCTGGGCACCCTATGCCAGGCCTGCCCACCCTCACAGGAAAGAAGTTTTTCCCAATATCCCTCTGGCAGTGTGAAGCCATCCCCCTTGTGCTGCCTGCATAAAAAGCCCCTCTCTGTCTTTATAAGACCTTGGAATGCTGCCACGAGGTCTCCCCAGATCCTTCCCTTTTATTGCTGGCTGTAAAGAAAACCTAATTTTGTCTTTAAACCTGACTGTGGAAGGGGTCCAACACTTCTCATTAGCACATAAATGATTCCATAAGATGCCATTCATGATAAACTGTTAAAATTATAAATATTTTCGTCTTTAGTGAGATGCTGCTTTTCCGAGCAGACGGTGAAAAGTGTAGTGATGGTTTATGAATTTTTTCAGAAGGAAAATGTGGCTGAATGGAATGAAACATGAATGAAATATCATTGCTGTTCTCTTGACTTTTAATGTGATAATAACTTAGCTAATCCAGAAAGGCAGCAATCAATTCTGAGCAGCAGCAGGGATGGTTGACAGATTTCAGGCTGCATTATCCCTCTGCATTAGGGATCAGCAAAGCAATTAATCTATTTATTTTTTTAAATCAATTTAAATCTAAGTGCAGCTTGACCAGGTTAAAGCACAGGTGTTATCTGGCTCTTGCCTTGTTTTGTGGCTCACCTCTGACTGTGACTCTTGTGCTCCCCAGGGCTTCCACCCCCAGCCCCCGGCGCGTGTCCTCGTCCCGATCTGCGTCGGGGTCACCCGAGACAGCTCCCAAAAAGCACCAAGGACCTGCATCTCCTGCCCGCTCTCGCTCTCCTTCTGCAAACTGGTCACCTGCAAAAAAGGCCAAGAGCCCAACTCAGAGCCCATCACCTGCCAGGGTATTTGTCTGCTCATAAAGCAGCTCTGCTTTGGCTTCTAGGGTGGATTCTTGCTGGGAAGGCTGAGCTGCTGTGCAGCCCCAGGGTTATTCACAGAGGGGAAAACTGCTTGGGGTCATTCTTCCCAGATAAAAACAATCTATAACGTAAATTTTTTCAAGTTTAACATCTCTAAGTGTAAAGAAAATGGTGTTTTATAGAAAGTCAGACTTGTGGGGAAAAGTCTGTCCCATTTCATGGGTGTACATGAGTTTCATGGTCTGCAGAGTGAGGGAGGTTTATTTATGCTCAGCATGCTACGTGCAAACTCAGAGTATTCCCAGTGGGAAGAGAACAGAATAAATTGTTGAGGATCTTCACCTCTCCTTCTGAGGTGTTTCCCAGGGGCAGTTCCATTCTTTGCCAGAGAAGTTCGAAGCCTTAGAGATGAGTTGTAACATCTCTGGAATTATTTATTACAGAATTCAGATCAAGAAGGTGGTGGCAAGAAGAAGAAGAAAAAGAAGGATAAGAAGCATAAAAAGGATAAAAAGCACAAGAAACACAAAAAGCATAAGAAGGAGAAGGCAGCAGCAGCTGCAGCAGCTGCTGCTGTAGCTGCAGCAGACACCACCTCAGCACAGGGAGAGCAGGAAACAGAGACAGAACCCAAAAAGGTGAGAATTTGGGGCTTTGTAAAGGCTCGGTGTGAGCAAACAGGGTGGGTGTGTGCCCTGCCCTGCCCTGCCCTGCCCTGCTGGTGTTCTGACAGCCCTAATTCCAAACTGGCACTGGGGGTGTGTGATTCCCTGTGGGGATTGCAGGGCTGGGAGGGCTCAGCCTGGCCGGGCCTGGGGTGTTTGAAGCAACTCTTTGTGTTTGTTTGAAGGAGACAGAAAGTGAACCCGAGGACAACCTGGATGACCTAGAAAAGCACCTGAGGGAGAAGGCCCTGAGGTCCATGAGGAAGGCGCAGGTGTCCCCCCCCTCCTAGGACAACCCTTTGATATAATGTACATTTTATTTGGTTTGTACTCAGAATTCAATTTCAAATTGCTAAATGTGTTTGAGCTTTAGAATATAACATTTGTTGTAATAATTGCTAGGTTGAGGTTCACCATGTACAAAGGGCATGGATTTACATTACAAAAGGTGTCCACAGTGTACTAGTGACATTCTTTCATTGACAGTCAGCATAATTTCATTTAGAGTGAGACTTTTTAGAAGCAGTAGGAATTTGTTTTGGAGGTTTGAAACATGACCGTCAGTTCCCTTGTTTCTTTGAAATCCAACAGAGCCTTGAGCAGAATTTGTGAGGGTCTCATTTGACTTCTTTTGTATCACTTACATGATGCTACTAACCTTTGTGGTTTGTAGGCTTGCCCAGGAGTAAAACCACTGCAGAATTCAAGGAAATACATCTCTATTTTAATGCTTTCTACTGTTGCCTGTATAGTCTCCATTAAAGCCAATCAAGAATAGCAATTTAGAGTGGTACATAAATGAAAGCATGTTGTTTACCAGGACACTGTGGGTTTATATTGATGTAACATGTTGATTTGGAACACTGGAATTTCATTTGTATTTTTATGTTCTTTTTTTAAAGGGCAGTTTCCATGATCAGCAGTCCCAGAAAAAAAATATAATTCCTTCAGTTCCATAAATTTTGTTTGTGAGCTGTCGTTGCCCCATTCATAAATCTTGTCTCGTTATGGTTCTTCAGAATGGTCTGAGCAACTTTCAGAGCTGTGTTCTTTGAAAGTTTAGAGGAACCTAAACTTTGGATATTGTCATGTTTTCACTGTTCTTTGTTTTTGTTTTTTTAACTAAAGCTATATAAAGCTTGTGGATTAAACAAAATAAATTTCTAAATTTAAACAGATGTTGGCTGTTTTTATCTGGACATTTACATTTGCTAATCAGCTTTGTTTTGTGCAGGTTTAATGACTGCTCAGAGATGAGAAAGAATTTGATCCACTGTGCTGGCTCTGGAAAAATTGGGGCTTTTAAGTGTCCTTGGGGAGCAGGAAAAGCTCTTTGATTTTTAGTGATGCTCCTGTGGAGTTGTTGCCAGCAGGAGTGACAGAGCCTTACCTGGGCAGTGCTCTGAGAGGATGGAGAAGCTCAGGCTCAATATTTGCTGTGAAAATTGCTGGTCAGAGTAAGCCAAGTGTTTGAAGGCCCTGCAAGAAATGACCAGCAGGTTTGATTAACTTGGAGAAGGAGCTGTAGTGGTGTGGGAGGAATCCTGGGGGCTCCCTGCCTTCCCATAATCATGGAATCACAGAGTGGCTTGGGTTGGAAGGGACCTTACAAACCATCCAGTCCCAACCCCCTTTTAATCACGCTGGAAACTTGCTGGGTTGCTTTGTAAGAACTCGAGCTGTGATTCTGAAATCAGCTCAGTTCTGAAGCCTGAGGTTCCTCTGGAAGGTGCTTTTGAATTCTTGTGCTGTGATGTCCACAGTGAAATGTGCAGATTGGTGACTCTTTCCTTGCCCTTGTGCAGGGTTTGACCTGGGGCAGGGCTGCTCCAGGTCCTGGCTGGGAGGGGAGGTTTCAGAGCAGCTCCTGCATTTCCCTCTGTGCTGAATCTTTTGTTTCTTCACATGAATATCATTGTGTGCTCAAGTGCTTGTAAACCTCCTCCATCAGCTGTTATTAAAATATGTGTGATAAATTCCAAGGAGCTTCTGGACAGAGGCATTTCTCAAAGTGCATCGGGTGAATTTGATGCTTGTGGAGCCACAGACCTGAATTTGGGACGTGCTGATCCTCATTCACTTGGATTTTCCCTGGATGTCCCTGTGCCTGCAGGGGTGCAGCTCCCCAGGGTTTAATGCCTCCTCCTTTATCATCCCAATCTTGCTTCCACCCGGGTTTGGTGACCTCTGAGTGCCTTTTAATTTTAGCACTAATAGAAGTTCTTTAAATACATTCAGGACCTGAGTCACTGCTTATCTTCCCTCACACCTATTTCCATCTCCTGTCTCCAGGACTGATAAAGGACCTCTGCTGGGTTTGGATGGGCCAGGCCTTCCCTCCACCTTTCCATCTCCCTTGGAGTTTCTATTGTTTTTTCATCTATTCATAAAGAATGGTGTAGGCTTAAAAAGAGCAATTAAATGCAGTGTTTAAAAGGAATATAACTTCTAAATTGTGTTTAGCTTAGTATTTGAATTCCTTCCCACTTATCCATTCAAGTATTAACATTTCATTTAAATACCAATTGGGATAAGGAGCCCTGTCCTCTCCTGAGCTGTCCCTGGTTTTGAGCACAGAATCTCTGCTGGGCTGGGTTCCATCTGTGTCTCTGCTGTTCATGACACCACTGAGTTCACTCCTGATCCTCTGACTGAGCTCCCCTCACCCAAACCCTAACTGGTCTGATCCCTTCTCCATCCCAGCTTCTTGGTTAACCTCTTCTCTCTGTTTTTAAATCCTTATATTTGTAGTTCAGAAATGACCCTGCAGGTGCCTGGTGTGATGAGGCAGGAGCTGCCTGGATCTCACTTCTTGTTATCCTGGATCTGCTCATGCAGAATTTTGGCTTCTTAACCCAGGCCACCCTCATGAAGTGACAGACATAGGGTCTAGGTAAGGGATGTGCTGCAATAATTGTATCCAACTCCACAAAAATTGAATTGGGGGCTGTGTAATTGCAATGGAACTGAGTCCTCAGGAGTGAGTGTGAGGCTGAGGTGAGTCACAGGTCAGTCTCTGTAGCTGCTTCTGAAGAAAGATGTTTGTTGTGTCAACAGGTGAGACAATGGCAGGTGTGTGTGTGTGCAACAGTTCGAAGTTTATAGAAACTCAGGGCTGGATTGTTAAATTTTTCCACTTGTGTGACTTTGGCAATTTGCCTGGGAGTGCTGCGTGGAGCTTCCTGAGCTGAGGGATTTACTCTGAATTGCCCCAGGACACAGAACTGTGCTGCTGCTGCTCCCTGGGAGCCCAGGGATAAATCCCAGCACCAGGGCAGAGTTCTGTGCTGGGAGCCATCCCAAAACCTCCCTCACCTGACACAAATCCATGTCCTGAGCAGTGAGGGCTGCAGGGAGGGACCTGAGTTTGGAGGAGCAGTTCTGCAGTCTGGCTTCATTCCTGCAGCACCAAACTCCAAATCTCTGTGTGTTGGTGTAAAAGCAGCTCTGGGAGGGGCAGCTCAGCAGGGCACAGAGTTCCATTCCAGCTGTTGTGTGTCATAGGTTGTGATTTGGTACAGGATCATCTCATAAACCCTTGGTTTGTCTGTTTGAAGTCCACTGTGTGTCACCAGTGTCTCAAAGCACTGACAATTCAATGGAATTGTGTTTCTCTTAAATCAGGTCTTAATCATTCCAATAAATTACTATTGGAAGTAATTATATCTCTTCCAGGATTATAAAAAGATGATTGAATCTCAGCCCAATGGGATAGGGAGTTGTGTATTCCCAGACTAATCAACAGTTTGACTTTTGAACTTTATGCAACAATCGTCAATGAGTTCAGAGAGGCTGGAAGTGCTGGAGTCGCCTCAGCTGGGTGTGAAACAAGAGCTGGGGATGGTTCCCCCCTGGCTGGAGGCAGAGGATGTCCTGTACCAGCCACTCTTACCTGAGCTCCCTCTGCCTCGGGGATCAGATAGTCCCTGCTGAAAGTCCAGCAGGAGCTGGGCTCCTTCCTGCATGTGGCACTCGAGGGGTGGCACAGCTCAGCTGTTCTGCAGCCCTGGGTTTGTTCTGAGCCAGGTTCTGGGGGAAAGAAGTGCTTGGCCTTGTTATCACTTGTTCAGTTTAGTTCTGACTTGAGCCAGAGCGTTTCCTTCTGCTGTGAGCAGAGCTCAGGGAACATCCAACATGGTTAAAGATCTTCTGGTTCACTTGTGATGGTTTGTATCTGCTGCCTCGGTGGCTGGAGGCAGGCAGGGAGACACGTGGTGAATTTTTCATATCTCCCATCCTGAGTGTAGATTAAGCCTTGGGAAGAGTGGGGAGAACAACCAATCTGCAGAGGGAGATGATGTTCAGAGGGGTCCCCAGTTCTCACTGCAGGTTTGTACCTGAACGTCCCCCAGTGGCTTTGGCTCTATCTCACCACGCTGGGGATGGACTGGAAGCTGTTCCTGAAGGGAGGAGGATCACAGTTCGTCATGGAGCTGGAGGGTTTGGGTTTTTCTTCCCTTTTCCCCCAGTCTTTTATTTAAAATCAAGAGCCACAATGTCCCTGCTTTGGGGTTTGCTGGTGTGTAGGGGCTGTTCCCGAGCAGTGAACAGGAGCTGTGTGACTCCAGCCCATCTCACAAGGAGAGAAAACGCCGCGAAATTCTTTCTTAGCTGGGAGTGTCGGATTCTGTAATGGGAGCCGGCAGCTCCCGGGGCAGGTGAGTCAGGTGTGAGCCCCAGCCCGGCACTGGAGCAGAGGTGACTCACGGTGACGCAGCCGCGGGGCCACCCGTGCTCATTTGTACCTTGTTTTGGGGTGGTGCCGAGCTTGTTTGGGCGTTTGGATAATCCTAAAAACCAGGAGGGAACGTGCCGGCTCCCAAACCAGGGCTGGGGTCAGTGCAGAGGGCTGGGGTCAATGCCAGGAGCACAGCTCCCCACGGTCGGGATTTGCTGTAGACTGAGCCTTCAGTGCAAGTGTTCTAATCACCAAGTCATTAATTTTCTATAGCGTTCGTGTTGTGGCAGATGCTGTAAGAATCGTGGGTTTTTTCTCATTCAATCCATCAGGAATTGTGTGGTGAGCACCTCCCGGGGCCAGGGATGGGGTCAGGAATCCTTCTGAAGTCCCACAAGTGCTTCCCCAGGCCGAGGAGCTGAGTGCAGGAGGGATGTGGGGTCCGGAGGGTCCTTCCTCCCGCACAAAGGCAGGATGGGGCCGCCCCGGGCAGTCCCGACTCAATGCGGGCTCTGTGCCTCGGGCAGGGACCAGCCCGGGGCAGCCGGGGCTGCTCCTGCACCGAGCCTTTAAATCCCGACAGAAATGGAGGAGATGTCCGGCACATCCTGCAGGTATCAGGCTGCTTTTGGCGAGGGGCTGGTCCTTGTGGGGATGCTCCGAATCCCTGGGAAGTTCAGGATCTTTTTGTTTCACTTCAAAGAAAACACGGAAAACAGCTGTCCTGGGAAAGCAGCGCTGGGGGAAAGGGAATTGTAGGGAATTGTTCGGTTCCCCCACACAGGCTTTGTGTTCAGTCCAGGGCCAGGCTCGTGTAAATTGTTGTGGCTATGAAATAAACGGAATTTAATTCTGCAGCCGATGTCAGCTGGGGAATGGCCCCTGGAGAGGAGGGTCAGGGTGAGGGGCTGGACTCTGCAGAGCACGAGCTGTCCTTATCTGCTCAGCCAGAGCTTCCTGTGGGCTCTGTCCCCACCCCTGCCCCGTGTCCTGCTCCGGGCTGGCCCCGAGTGCACAAAGCTCGGCCCTGACCCTCTGTGGGGGCACAGCCTGGGAAGCTCTCAGGAGATTTTTCACCTGGGGGGGTGGGGGCTTTTTGTAATTCTTCATTCAGTCGAGCTTCAGATGAAACTAAAGCTGGTGGAAGGGTTTGAAATGTGGATCCCTTTTAAGAATAACCCCCCCAGGCTTCCCCGCTCCAGGAGGGAGGAAGCTCCCATTAAAAATTGATAGTCTCCCTGTCAGCTGGATTTTAATTCAGCAAGTGGATTTGACTACTGATGTGAAAAAAATTACTTTTGTCACCGTGCTGATATTTTTTTAATGAGACAGAAATGGTTTGGCACCTTTCCAGCTTATTAAAACCTTTGTGAGTCCACAGGCACCGGCACAAGGGGATGAGAAGGGAAAATTACATTAAGTGCATGATTGGCAAAACAAAATTGAGCTCTTATTTATTTATTTATTTTTTATCTATTACAAGCCTGTGAATGAAT